ATGAAGAGCTATGAAATTAATTACAGTCTCCACATGAAAAATACTGGTTTTATCAGGATGAGAAAAAAAAAAAAGAAGCTAGCTGAGAAATGTTATGTAATATTACTGTCTTGTCTGCCAAAACATGGGAGAACTAGAAAATGAGGTTATCTGAAGAAGGTAGTCATACATAATTTAGCTGTAACAAAGTCAATGTGTGTAGGATATTTATACAATGCAAAGGTTTCTAAAAAGAAGTAGAAATTACATTACATAAGAGGTGTAAAATAAAGAAATAGACACTCAAGCACAGCTGTAAGAGAATGTTTCATGGCACTGTTTCAGTGTTTACATCTACCCTTTCAGAAAAGGTAGGAATAATAATAGTTTTATTTAAAGCTACACTCAGGGAGACAGTTTCAATAAAATAAATGTATTACAGCGTTTCAGAAATGCTCCTTTCACCTAGACTTACTGCCTCCAGTAAGTAAGATATACATACATATTCAGGACCTTTGGACATGAAAAATCTACAGGACATAGCTTGCATATCACCATAGTTTTATTGTCTGTGATTTCTCAAGAAAACAGAAATGGGAGAAATATGTTGACAGTTCAGTCTAATTGCAGAATTCTTTTGACTTAGTGCCATAGTTGCTACGTGTGAGTATTGCATATAAAAATAACTTTCTCTGACCTAAAAATACATAAATGAATAAATAAGGTTGGGTTTTTTGTTTTGTTTTGTTTTGTTTTGCTATGAGATGAAAAAACCCTGCATCACTAAGCAATACACAGCTAAACTGTAATTTATACACTGCTCTCCATGGTAGGACAGCTGTGAGTGTCTGTTTGAGAGACTGGCTTAATAAAGTCTGTGTGACTTGAGGACTATTTTAAAAGATCTCTCCCAGGAAAACATCAAGATATAATGCTTTATGCAATCAATAATGTTGCGGCCTTCTGTTGATAGCTACCACAGGACAAGGTCATCCTATAGACTACACCATCCAGTCTGAGCATCACTGCAGAATCTTTGTAATGCACACAGTCATCTGTCCTAACCAAGGATCTCACACTGAATTTCCTGCCACAGGGCACAGACCAGAATAGCTCTAAAAAATTATATGTAGAAAACCAGACTTCAGAAACACTGAATGAAAAATTAAAGAATCTTTTCTAATAGAATCAGGTACGGGAAAATGTACACAAGCTATTAAAGTTATATAATCATTGGAGGGAAAAAAAAAGACAACAGAACCATTTTATAAACTCCTTAACAGGTCAAACTTGATTATTATTCTCATTCTAAATTCCTGACCATTAAAAAATATTTTTTTATTTCAATTTTCAAGGTAAGCACACAACAGAACCATTGAGACACTTTGCACGATAGCATCTCCTTTGTTTTAATCACTAATTGTCGTGGGTGTTCTTGTGCTTGGTGGATAAGTTTTATAAATCCTAAATTTCAAGCATAAATTAGTCATGCCCTGCTCACTTCATAATGCCAAATGTTCAGCTGCAAGGTGCTGGGTAGGCCTCTCCCAATTCCTGACAACAGGAGTTCAGTTTATGTCCCTGGTACTGAGTCAGCAGGTAGATGTAAAGCCCCTTTTAATGCTCTCTGAAGGTGAAAACTGATGCTAAGGCAGGGCAGGATTGCACTGTGAGCAACCCATGGACAGCTCAAGAGCTTAAGAGAAGAGAGAAAAGTCTGGAAAACAGAAGTCTTTTGGTTTTTGTTCTTAGATCAGTAAATGATGTGCCACGAGGAAAAAATATTGAGGAGGATGTTGGCTGCTTCTTCACTGAGGTCCCTGCTTCCAAATATGACTGCCTGCACCTATCTAGCTACACCAGCAGGGGCCAAATCTCCAAAATTTCAGCCAAATTTCTAAAAAAACAGAACCTCGCACATCTGCAATAGAAGCTGTAATTGTAAGGAGACAGATCTCCACATTTGCAAAGCAAGGACAATTTGTGATGGGCGTCACAGGTATCGTGTGTGATGTCATGAGCCGGGACAGGAGCTTGAACAAAGAGGTACCCAGTATGGGTGGCCACCCATTTATTTCTGCTTCCATAGCCAAGGGTAGCAGAGCTGGAGCTTATATTTGCTTCTTTGCTTGATACAAGAGGGAGACTGAGAGAGCTGGGGCTATTCAGCCTGGAGAAGAGAAGGCTCTGGGGAAAGCTGAGAATGGCCTTTCAGTATTTAAGGGGGGCTGCAAGAAAGAAGGGGACAGACTCTTTAGCGGGGTCTGTTGTGATAGGACAAGGGGAAAAGGGTTCAGTCTAAAAGAGGGGAGATTGTAGTTGAATACAAGGAAAAAAATATTCACAATAAGGATGGTGAGGCACTGGTACAAGTTGCCCAAAGAGATGGTAGATGCCCTGTCCCCGGAGACACTCAAGGTCAGGCTGGATGGGGCTCTGAGCACCTGATTGAGCTGTAGGTGTCCCTGTTCACTGCAGGGAGTTGTACTAGGTGGCCTTTAAGAGTCCCTTCCATCTCAAACGATTCTGTGATGCTATAAGATTATGCAGAGCAGAGCATAGACTAAGCAGCAGATGGAAGTGAAGACATGGAAGCTCCAGGTGCATCTTCTCCTACTTCCTGCCATTTCCCATTTCTGGAGAAACCTGGGACTGCTCTGGAAGCAGTCTGATCAATTCCCTGTGATCAGTGTGTATTAAACATTTTTCTCTTCTTCCATGAGGACAGTAGTAGTGAGCAACTTTTTCAGAGACTGGAGAGTCCCATCTCCAGACTTCCAATGTTACACCAGTCATTCAGATAGGTGTTTCTTTTTCCCTTCCAGTTGGCAGCAGGCAGTTCAAGTTCTGCACAAATCAGTAGTAGTCTAAAACAATTTTCCTCTGATTTTTCCCATTCTGCTCCCTGCACTGCCAAAGTTTCACCCACCCCACTGGGCTTGGGGCTAAGCCTGACATGGTGTGCTTGTAGCCCCAAACCAGTCAATGCCATAAAGCTTCTCTGGATCTCCATCACCTTTTTCGCCCATGCTGCTCACCCAGTAGTTGACAGATCCACGTGGGGTGAAATACTTTATCCATTTTTTGCTGTTTCTTCCAACTTAGAAAAAAAGAAAGAAAATCATCCTGCTCTTGGTTCTCCTGGAATTTTCTCACATCCTTTCCAGGCATAAAAAGATGATGTCTATTTGCAATCCCATTATTACAGATATGCACAGTTATTAAGAAAATGCTGTGAAGGCACATCAAGCAAATAATACCAATTTTCAAAATTCTATAGCAATGTATTTATACAATTTACAGAATTCTGTATGTATTTTACACACCATTACAGAATGTCAAGTAAATAACACCAATTGCTCTGTTTTTTCCCCCTCAGATTTCTCTTCAAGTGAATTTTAATGCTAAAAAGGGGTGTCAGATCGGCAGCAGTAGAAAATGAAGAGTTCTGTTTGTGCACGGCTGCGGGGCAGCAGCAGCACACGTGTGCCCATGTCAGCTCAGCTGCCTCCAGCCCTACATTGGGACCAAACCAGGGAGGAGCGAGGAGCTGAAGCGCATCCATGCCCCTGGCACGGAAGCCAAGCAGCACCCAGGGGACTAAGGCTTTGTCCACCCCCGCCAGAAAACAGAAATAACTCATTTTGCACAAGTGACTGAACAAAATCTGTTGTTCAGTCCTTGAGCCAGGCTGGATTAGGCCCAGTCAACATGCAACGAGTGGTAAATTGCCAGCTCCTGGACCATCCAGTCTCACAGTAACGCCTATGTTAAATTACATGTTTCCATATTTACAGAAAGTCAGTATTTACACACCATTATGGGTTATTAGAGTAAATTGGATACAGTTTATTTATATGGACTGCCATAAACTCATAACATTTTTCTTGGTTTTAATCCTTTCTTTAGAAAAATACAAAAAAAAAAAAAATTAGAACATGTTAACGAGTAGTAATGATTTGTCTATGACTAAAAATCCAAATCAATTGAACATTAAGACTCAGTCCATGGCCTAGCACCCTGGCCTCTACTCGTCAGGTTTTTAAACTTCGCAGTTCACTTCTTGGCACACACAAGATTTTCTGCCAAAACACAGAGTCACAGCCGTCCTTCCTTCAGTACCATTGGTCTGTTTGACAAGTGGTGAACCCAGCACGTCCCAGGAGCTCGCTTACTTGTTTGAGCTTTTGCAAGGCTTTGTGCTCCTGGCCCAACCATTCAGCACCTGGATAACCTGCAGCCACATTTACATGCAGGTTTGAAAGGGTTGGAAACCAACCGCAACCGCTGTGCTGAAGGTTGGGCTTAGGCCCCTCAGCAACAGCAGTCCCCAGGCAAGTGCATGTGTCTGACTGCATCTTACAAATCAACAATCTGCTTCTATGTGTCTTTATCACTCAAAAACATTACAACAAAATGCCATCTTGTAGTGAAGGTTGCTGGTATCTCCTAGTTGAGGCATGGCTCCTCCTACCTACCCACAGAGCACAGAGAGCTCCCGCTCACCAAGCGCACCGAGCCATGAGCTATTCCAGAGCAGATTTATGCTTCGAATCCTATCTGTTTATACTGCACAGACAGGAGTGCATCAGAGAAAAAACAAATCAGGATTACATAATTGTGAGCAGGGTACAGTTACAGCTATGCCAAAGCATGTTTTGGCTCAGCTCTAGTGCTGCCAAGGGCAGCCGGGGTATCACGCTCCCTCCAGACCCCACAGCAAAAGCTGTGCTCACATTAATGGCACCAGGTTCGAATCCTAAAGGATGCAACATCTCCAAAATGCATTTGTCGTGCGGACCTTATGTGACTTTCCTCTCTTTTTTTTTAACCTTCAGAGTACTGGGGAAAAAAAAATGTTTCTTTCTACAGATTAATTCCCAAATGGTAACAGCTCATCAATGTGTTTGTGTGCTTAACATACAATGCTACAGTTCCTTAAGTATTACACACTGTTATTTCACAGTTCATGAATATCTGAACATACTTTAAGAAAAAAGTCTAATACTTTCCCCCCATTGTCATTATTGATAGAGATTTATTAGTTTCATTTTGCAAGTTTTACTTTAAGAAGGGTGCTAATATCATGTATTATGACAGTTCACACTGAAAGCAATTTTCCATAAAAGATGTTACAATGACCCCTATGGAACTTGTATAATTTCATAGTAGATAGTTAAGTGCACAAATAAAACACATTTACAAGATTGATCCTGTTAGCCTGGTTCTTGCCCTCTGAAACCCTTATGTGCTATTTGAGGAATCTTAAAATTAGTACAACTGTTGATATTACTTATGCTGTTTCTGGAATTCTGCTTTAGAGGAGAGAGAAAAAAAAAAAAAAAAAAAAAAGGCATACTTATCATTTAGCTTTGGTATGATCTGCAATAGGTTTTAACAAGTAGAATATATTCCAACCTTTATATTTTCCGCAGCTGTGAATTTTACAATGATGTAATAAGTCATTTTATCAGAGAGGAAATATTACAGACACAGAAAAATAGTTGGAGACCCAGTTTTCTTTTTAATCCTCTGGGGGTAAGCTATGAAACAAGCAGTCAGAAGAGTGAGTACTCAGTGTCATGAGTGGTATGCATACTTTTACAATAATATGGGCACAAAAGAGATTGTCGCCTTTAGTACATGAGGGTCACTAGAATTTATTATTATTACCTTTTTATTGTTATTCTCTTTATCCATGCACCTTTATATTTACTTGCATGAATTTACCACAGGTTCATAGTGGCCTTTGCCATTTTAATGCTTACAGAGCCTAAAGCTTCCAAAATGCCTATCTGGCCTATACATATTTCATTAAAAATAAACTCTATATAATAAATAAATATATAAAATAAATAAAATGTTGCCTTTGGAATTTCTATAAATAAATTTAACTTTTTATTTTTATTTGTTTTTACTAAGAGGTCTTTGCTTTAAACTCAGCGGGGTGAGACCCAGCGAGCGATTAACTGAAAAGTCTCTTGTCTACGTGAGACTGCACCCTCCATGCCTTTGTAAATGCAGCGTACACTTGAGCAGGCCACCAGCCAAAAATCCCGATGAATCAAAGTATGGCAGCTATGCTGATATATGACGAAGTACAACTGATCAAAAATTTAAAAGCGTGTCCATTCCCCAGCATGCATCAGGCCGTTCTCCTCCTCCCTCTGGCTCCCCTCTCTCACTCCCATTCACGCTCTCGCTTCCTCTCGCTCTCACTCACTCTCTCGCGCTCTCCCTCTCGTACTAAATCAAGCGAGTGGGCATAGGCTCTCCTCCAGGAGGACAAACCTTTAAGTGCAGAACAAAATCAGCATGTTCCATCCAAGCCTCCATCATACATTATGCATGCGACAAAGTTTGGCAACAGTGGAGCTGATGTGATGACACAGCTAATCAATAAGAACCCACCGCATGAAACCTTTATAGTGGTTACTTTTTAAGGGCTCAAGTGAAGGAATTGTCTTTGTCAACTTTGGCTTAAAATATCCTTATATAGTTCAGGTACTTTCTCAGGGTCCACTGGTCTAGGTAAAAAATGTGTAAATTTTTGATGCCGTTTAGTCCTAGTCCCTTCTCTTGGAGTCCCATCTTTATTTAACGCAACGTAGTATCGTCTTCCAGTGTCCACGTGTTTATATAGATTTGATGAATATGTGTTATACCAGTTTTCTTCAAACTGCTCTCTGAATACACACTCCTGGGTTAATTTTTCCTATGAAAAGAGAAGAAAAATCGGTAAGGAGTTAGCCATAAAAAAAATCTATTTATTTCGTAAAGAATTATGAATTTCACTGCTCAAAATCAGTACTTCCTTGTTCAATTTACAGAATGAATCCTTGCAGTGAATAATCCCAGTTTTAACTAAATAAAGCAGGATTGCTGAGTGTTTCATAAAGCAGTCACATGGGTAGCACACAGTGTGTGAAGCAAAAATGATCCTCCAGAAGCATTGTTGTCAAAATCAAATCAGCACCAGTGAAAATGGAAACAAGGATTTTAATTTGTGATCATCCCAAGGCAGCTCACAAAATATTACTGGGCTTATATAAGCAATTGCTTGATCATGAGTGCAAGTGCTTGAACAGACATTACGAAAGGTTTGTAGAGTGGTGATATCATTCAAGATCTTAAAATCTCTACATCTTTTTATCACAAGGAGTACTCAGTGCATCTCATTAATTACAAAGGATGCAATTCAATACCCATCATTTGGTTTGTTATCGCAGAACCACAATTCACAAAAGCCTCAAACAGGAGCAGTAACTCTATGTGCTGAGATGAATTTAGGTGAAGACGGGCTTGCAGACTGTATAAGCATTGTTTTTGTGTTCCATCCTATGGAAGACATCCACTAAAGGCATCAGCCATTCACCATCTCCCTTGTCAGAGCGTCCCACTCCTTCCAGTTCACTTTCTCATTGAGTCAGTGCGTATCACCTACACTCTTTTGCTCTAAATGAATGAGGCTGGCTTAAAAAACAGCTGCTTATAACCTGATTTATTTTGAATAAGTTAGGAAGTGCTTACACAAATGACTGAGAAGGAAGACTGGAAAAAAAGTATTAGCCTCTAATATGGGGAAGCTGATGGAAAGTTGGGAAGAGTAAACTTGGGAATAGTCTTATCAGCTGGTACAAAATATAGTAATGATAATTTAATATTTTTCCAAGAGTTTTCAATCAAATAGCACTCACATCTACCAAATTCAACTTCTACTTGAGGATCACCTCCTCTTGATTACAAAACTTCATACAGCGCCGGATTCTGTAAGCATGTAAACATGTAAAGCATGTGTGCATATGCCTTAGAGAAATTAAAATTTTAAATGGCCCTTTCAGACAAACACATAGAGATGGAAAAACAGAGATCAAGGGCCAGGTGCAGCAAAGCCTTTATGGCACGTACACCTACAACCTGAGCACAACCAAGGAGCCATATCTCAAACTCCAGTTCCTTCCAATAAACCACCATCCACAGCTTAACCCAGGAGCTTCACAAAATGTACCACCACTATGTTGCAATTTGGCCTGGGGCTGAAGGAGACTTTGAAAGTCACTTCTGTGTCTCAGGACTCACAAGCTCTTTTCCTACAGCAACATGCTTCAATCCAGAGGTTTTTCTGCTGTTTCAGGATATACTCAGAAATGCCTTCTCCTTGACAGAGCCAAGATGGCTTAGCATGCACCTTGAGACGAAAGAGTTTGACTGGGCGTGGAGTGGTCCCAGCAATCCATGAGAAGCCCTGGCACCAAAGCACTGTGTCCTCATGGTGACACTTCATCTTGCTGACTGCATGGCAAGCACCTGCTCCCCACGAGGGGTCTGCACCCCACTGGGGCTGGAGACCAGGGTCCTGTTAGGATCCAGGGAGCCCTACATACTTCACAGGAGTCACATAGAATCATAGAATCATAGAATCACCAAGGTTGGAAAAGACCTAAGAGATCATCCAGTCCAACCGTTCACCTATTCCCAATAGCTCCCACTAAACCATGTCCCTCAACACAACAAGAACCAACACAAATAGGAACCAACCCACATGGGAGAGCAACCAGTCAGCACTCCACCTACTACCTGGAGACAAGGCTGCAAATTCAAGATCTTCTTCAATGCCAAAAAGGTTAGGATTTAGAGGTTTTTTTTTTCTGTGGGGTTTTTTTCCTGTAGTTAACCTGTGACTAGTCTGTTAGTCTAGAAAGGCAGCAAGCAAGCAGTTTCTGACTCTGTTGGGAACCTCATCACTTCTCAGGAAGGAGAAATCCCCTCCAGGGCCAGGCAGGGGGACATTAAACACTTGGAAATTCACTATGGCAGAGGCAATGGCCCTGCATAAATTCAGTTGGCTGTAGCAGAAGAAAAGACCGCAGCCCCATTCCTCACAGCATCTCCAACCGTTCCACCACCAGATGTCCCTCCCTGCAGGCTCAGCTGAGCAGAGTGCATAAAAACGTGAGCAGGTCCGCAGAGCTGCTGCATATAATCATTTATGTCATTTTCTGACTATGACACTTTTACTGTGTGAAGTAGAGAGTCTTTGGAGTTCCCCTCCCTAGAGATCTTCCAAAGGTGCCTGGCCATGGCCCTGGGCATCCTGCTCTGGTGTCTCTGCTGGAGCAGGGGTGAAGCAGGTGACCTCCAGAGGTCCCTGCCCACCTCAAGCATCCTGCCATACTGTGAAATAGCTCAAACACAGCAACACCCATGCTGTTTAGAGAAAGAAAAGAAACACGTACCTGTTTACATTAAATCTTTGTATATGAGCCAAATCCTGCAATCAGCCATTGATAATTTCCTCCTATGTAGTCTGACAGCTAGAAATTGCAGCAGCAATGTGTTCCACCAGACATCTGCAGCAGCTAAATGTTAGGCACATTGCAGTAGCCCCTTGTACAGCCTCTAAGTACTATAAAAAATATTCAGCTTCTACAAAGATCATTTTTAAGCACAGCTCTCATTAGTGTTTTATTTTGCATGATGTTCAAAATCACTTTCTTTGCTTCAATGCAAAAGCAGATGCTAAGAGATACTATATGCTGAATCTGTCAGACCATTGGGGAAAGAGAAACTAATGCAAATTGTTTTCCTGCTCTCAGAAGGCAATAGAATCACATGACAAACACTGCGGAAGCGCTCCTTACTAAAAATAGCAACAATTTAGGAGGATATTTCAGTCCTGTCTTGAATTCATTAATTATTCACTTCATCTGCATCTTTTTTAGCATCATCATAAATTTCTATCTTCGTGTGAGCAGTACTTTCCCGTGCCCTGAAGGAGAAATTTTAAAATAGCCTCTCTTTATCTGGCAGGTTTGATCGATTATGACAGTGCTGTGGTGCGCTGAGCTGGCAGACCTTGGATAAGGTCTGCATGCTGGGTGAGCTCAATGGATTTCAGGCTTACAAACTGAATCTTCATTTTACAAGTTCAGCCTGCTTTTACTTTTCATTCTCTCACAACACAGCTAGTTCTCTCCTACCGTTTATGTGATTCTGAGAAATCCATACAAGAACTGTAGGTAAATATTTCAATAAAAACCTCACAGAGCAATCAGGATGCAGGGTCAGATCTGTAATTATACTAATAACCACACATTCAGAAAAGTTAAATAATCACACTTTCAGTGAAGTTCAATATTTTCATTAGAAATTCTTTAAACAGTTCTCTAGAAATTCTGTTTGTAACAAAAGACCACTGAAGCAAATCATGGTGCCCAAAGAAGCTGAGGATGCCCCATCCGTGGAGGTGCTCATGGCCAGCTGGGATGGAGCTCTTGGCAGCCTCAGCTGATGGGTGGCAGCCCTTCCCACAGCAGGGAATGGGGCTGAGTGGGCTTTAAGGACGTAAGGCAGTCTATAATTCTATTAAACAAATGCCACTGACTTTGAATTATAAATACATACGAGGAATGTGAGGAATAAAATCCCAGTATATCCTTCTTTCCTTCTTTCATACTCTGGAAGATCCTTACAAGAATGGTTCATCTGGTACCAAGACAGACAAGAACTGATAGTCACCAGCACATTCACCTGTATTGCTCTACTTAACACTAGTTCACACTCACGCTTTGAGCATGTGTTTTATCCTGCCAGCATGAAGATTATGCAGGGGTGAGGCCAGTCCATCCTGCCAACACACATCTTGTTGCCTCACCAGGTTGGGATGGGAAACATGCTGGAAGCCACCACTGCCAGCACAGGGAGGCAATCATGTCTGCTGATTGCAGGTGGCTGCATTTTATAGAATGACAGAATCATTGGAGCTCAAAGGAACCCTTAAGGCCACCTACTCCAACCCTTGCAATGAATAGGGACACCTACAGCTTGATCAGGTGCTCAGAGCCTGGTCCAGCCTGACCTTGAGTGTATCCTCTCAAGGAGGGATAGGGCATCCACCACTTCTCAGGGCAGTGCCAGTGCCTCACTACTCATCATAAAAAACTTTTTTTCCTTATATCCAATTACAGTCTCCCTTCTTTTAGATTGAACTCATTTTCTCCAGTCCTATCACAATAGACTCTGCAAAGAGTCTGTCCCCTTCTTTCTTACAGTCCCTTTAGATACTGGAAGGCTGTTCTTGTGTCTCCCCAGAACCTTCTTTTCTCCAGGGTGAACAGCCCCAGCTCTCAGCCTGTCTTCATAGGCTACACGTTCCATTCCTTGGATCATTTTTCTGGTCCTCCTCTGGACATGCTCTTACAGTCCTTCCCCTTCTGGCTATGACCTTTACAAAGCCCCTAAATACAGCTGAAAATATTTGGACCTTAGATTCAGCACTTCTAGAATCAACTGATTTCTCTGTTATTTTCCAGTGCCAATATTTTACTGCACTACACCTGATGTCACCCGACATCTCTGTCGAAGGCTGACACAAATACCAAACATACCCAGCTGGAGCAGTAGTGGAAAGCAACCTGCTTTCCTGCATAAGAGGAGGCTGCCTGCCTTGAGCAAATCATTCAATTCAGGGACCAAATAAGGAGGTGACCTCAAAATTATATAAATCATGTGCTTCACCGCATAGCACATGTTTTCAATGAAGTCTGTTCATATAGTATTCAACTATGAATTGATCAATCTCCAGTTTACTACATTACCACTTTCTACCTGTTTTTTTTAGCTTTTATTTAACTCAAATAGTTCAAGTAATTCAAGTGTTCAAAGATGCACCTATCACAAAAGCAAATAAACCAGTGGATTTAATTCAGAAGCCTG